ACTGGGGAGTGGGAGCCCGTCCGCATCGTGGTGTCCGAGCTGGATCTGGGTGACCCAAGCAAGTACTGCACTCAAGAAGGAGAGCAGCGTCCAACGTTTCAGGGCCACGCTGGCGAGTGCCGGAAGGACGACGTCCTCACCAGTCGGGAAAAAGGCTGAGCTGCCCCAAACTATCCTCCCATCAGCCATCAAGTTGCACTCGGAGCGCCTCCTCGTGCAGTGCGTGAAGACTCTGTTGGCTGTGCCCGGATCCATCCGTCAAACGCAGTGCAGGCATTTCATCGTGCCTACGGAACACCACACGAAAGGAGTTCCGGGCGCAGACACAGTTGCTCTATTTGGCTGCTGGGCCGTCTGCAATCTTCGCCGTTCCATACGTCACGGTCAATAAGAATGACCGTCGGCGCCATGAATTTTTATCTTTCTGGCGTTTTCCACCTGTGGTTCGCTGTCCGCGTCGCTGCACACGAACTCGCGCATGTGCTTGGGTTTGGCTACTAACAAATGGAGGTGAAGAGTGTGGTGCGCACTCTCACCACTGGGGGCTATGCGGCAAAGACGTGGACGGTGATCTCCACGCTCACAAAGGAGAAGTCGCAGGAGCACTTCAACTGCAGCAGCCTTGAGGGCATGCCCCTGAGGGACGAATACGACGGTGTATCACGGCTGCACTCACACTGGGGTCGGTGGCACGCGAGGGACAAACTGATTGGCCCCACGGTTGCTACTGGTGCCGACTTCTACACCGCGCTGACGATGGCTGCGTTTGAGGATATGGGCTTTTACAAGGCGAACTTCAGCATGGCGGAGCCGATGCGCTGGGGCAAAGACGTCGGATGCGAGTTCGTCGATGAAAAGCAGTGCAGGCCGGACGACCACACCAAGTTTCCCGCGATGTTCTGTCAGAAGAACTACAGTGACACCATGTCGTACTGCACAAGCGACCGCGTTGCCTTGGGCCAATGCAGTTCTTCGTGGAACGACGAGTGCCTTTTCATCCGCTCGTCACCTTTTGGTTCATGCCGCAATGAGGAAAACACGGCCCTGCACGGGAGCCGCCTGGACGCAGGCTCGTGGTGTCTCGATGGGGAGTCGCTCAAGGTGAACGTGGAGACGTATGGCCCGGAGCCCAGGGTGGTTGTGCTGTGGCCGCCGTATGCGCGGAGGTGGCATGTGCCAGGGGTTCGTTCAGGGTCCGTTACCTCGGCGACAGTGACTGGTACAACTGCCCTGAGGGCAGCTCTCTCTCACCTGCGGGCACGTCCGTTGACTTTGCGAGCGGCAAGATCAGGTGCCCCAAGTGCGACGAGGTGTGCACCATCACTCCCACCGGCAGGAGTCGTGTCACGCGCCACCCCAGCGACGATGACGAGTTGGGCACTGGGGACGATTACCCCTCGCATGCACTGCACCGTGAGTCCCGACGTCAGCAAGGACTTCGTGAACGCAGGCGCCCCGAGCTGCTCCGCCCCGAAGGAACTGAGCCGAAGACGAAGTGGGAAAGAAAAGGACCAACGGGGGTGGAGAGAAAAAAGTGAGCGCTAACGTGCCATCGCCTGAGGAGCACACGGATGGTGCTGCCGCCACTGACCTTCGCTCCTGTGCAGTGTTGTTACTTGCGGTGGTTACGGGCATTGCGGCCCTGATGTTTCGCTAGGAAGCTGCCGCGAGCACGGCGTGCACAAGGGCTCCGACGTGCCTCATGCGTTACGGACCTCGAAACCTTTGCTTTGTGCAGCATGCACTTTGAGGGTGGGAGGAGGGCGTGCGCCATTTTTTCCTCAGGTGACGGACCCACCGCACGGACGTCGCCCCATTCCCCGCTTGCGCATCGCAGTTTGCAGCCGCAGTTAATGCCTTGTGGATGAACCGTGTTTTTGTTTTAATATGTTTTTTGATTTTTATTTGGGGGAAGGTCTGTTCTTGTTTTGTTGCTCGGGGAGCGGAGGACTGGCGGCGGCACGGCAGAAGGGGTTCCTCTGCGGGGGGAAACGTGAATGGGGGACGCGCCTCAGTTGGGTCCATCTCTTTGCTTTTTGTGTGTGTTTCGCTTCGGGGAGCGTGGGCGTATGACGAGGGGATGCGTCCCCTGTGCGTGTCCGCCGCGGCCCCACGCCCACTAAAAATGAGAAATATACATTTGCATGCGTGTGCGTGTGTGTGTGGAGGACGGGACAAT